TCCGCGACATTAAGAATGGTCAGTCAGGTCCATCCACTTCTGCTGGCAAGTAATTGAAAGGGATACAGTGACTGTCTTCGAGCACTTCTAGGTAGGCACTGATCCATTGCCCCCGGGGCATGAAACATAGTACAATGTGAGGCTTATCCCAGAATACGATTCTGATACACATTCTCGAAATTAAGGGAGACGTTTAGATAGGAAATACAACGCATAAACATCCAAATACTAAATGACAAACATATTTGCACTTGTAATTAGTGGCTTGGGCTTCGTTATGCAACCAGTTCTCGTGGAGATTCAGATGCACGGCGGGGTGGCTGCTAGGACTTCCGAATATAGAGAGCCAAAAGAAGCAGCAAGAACAGCATTCTTCTTTGATGCCACGTGACACCAAAGCAAGATTTGGTTCTGGTCTGTATGACTGTGATGAAGCCTTTTGGAACTAATAAAGCAAAAGCATCAGATTACTGGCTGCGATTAAATGTCACACTGCATCGGTTGAAAACTCCGCCAAGAGTACTCCTGGTATCACGTTTTCCGATCCCACTCATACGCAGTAGTTTTCTTTACAAGTCTCGCAACTATTATCATATTAATTTGAAAGCAGTAGAAATTCGCGTCTTGTCAAATTCATCCCTTACGCGAAATTGAACAAATGACATTAAAATGCAAAACAAGCGTCATTATGGCACTTCAGTAATTATTTTGTTGAGCACAAAGGTATGAGCTAACTTGCTGATCAGCGGTTAAAGGCCATTTGAAGACGGACAGAGATTGTTTTGAAAAGGCGGTTTTGCCCAATGCCAAGAGATCCACAATCACCCCAATGTCTTAAAAACAGAAAACGCACATTTGAGTGAAACTGGATAATTTAGTGCCACCGAGAAAAGTGAAGCTGCTCAATGATTCTTTCATCCATACTTACCGGAAAAGTCTCACAAACGAATGCATATATCCCCAACTTGTTACAGTAATTTAAGCCAACCAATACATAACAGGAAAGCAACAATGAAACAACCATGAAATACGGGCCAAATTGAATTTCAGCTCATGGCCGGGGAATGCGGAGGGCCCGTAGCGGCGCTGCACAGAGGGGCCCCGCACCCTGCCTGATTGAACACTACGCTGTAGGGCTCAAAGTACTCGTACTGCACGATCTTGGCCAGCTCCTCCTGGATCTTCATGTCAAGTTTGGAAACGAACTCGATTTTCTGCAGCAACCGGTACACCATCGACAGCTCCCGCTGCGACCTGTGGTGGGGGGGCTTGCTGAGGATCCTCTGGATGATGATGCGCTCCGTGGGGCCGATTATGGAATCGGTTGAAGGGCAGGGGTCCAAATCGGATCCCAGGCGGTGGTTTTTCCCATCCATGTTTTGGAAAGTGGGCAGCCTCGCCCCGGCCGGCGTTTCTCTCCACTTGTTCGCCAGGCACGATTCGAGATGAAGCGCAGGCGGCCTTGGTGCTTATGAGTCTATCCGCCTCGGAGAAGGAACAAAAGAGAACTTGAGTCGTGAAGCAGATTTGAAAAAGCGGGATGAGGCCCCAGGAACGCAGGCGGGATTGCGTATGCAGCGCGAGTTATAGCGTGGAAAAATGTCATGTCGCAACAGCACTCTTTTGTGGTCCACACGCAAAACATGCTGTCGAGAACAGGCATATCAGTATCGCATATTTATTGTTACTGTGGATTCGCGGTGAGTGCCTTTGGATCCTAGCAAGTATAAGGAACTTTATGATCTTGAATTCTGACCCCACCGAATGCTCCCGAGATGAGAATGAGCAATAATGCAGCCAACATTCAGCTGGCCATTCAGCAACGTTTACTTGCCGTCCTTCAAGACATTCAAAATATCTGCAACCCTGAGTGGATATCTAAACCTGGGCCTGTCTTTCTGGAAATTCTCATATCTGGGAAGCTACGAGCGAAGCTTTGGCAGTTCAGTTTTGCACGGTATATGAAGACTAATCCTCAGTCACAGATAGTTCATTTCCGTAACCAGTTCGACGAGTGACTTAAAAATTGACAGTATCAACTATTCTTAGCAACGCTTCCCATCAGAAATCCACTTGCAGTGCCCTCCCACACTAATTTCGAAAGCCGAGGCAGCATCCATAGGGGACGGCACACCCATAGAAGGACAGGGACACACCCAAACAGCAAAGCTCCAAACAGCAAAGCTCCAATCATCGCGGCCGGTTGGCAGTGCGGCCCCCTCCTCCGGCACTCACAACGTCGCCCGCCCGTCGGCGTTAGAAGTGGCGCATCAGGGCTCGCGCCCTATCCGGCAGAGGCCACCTCGACCTGCCTCCAGGCTCCTCCCCTCTCCGGCTTCCAGATTCCCGACAGCTTCCCCGTCCCTGGAACGAAGGTTGTGGCTACTCGACAGCTTCGGGGCACAGCTGTGCCGCGCGCCCGGAAGTATCTCAACCGGAGGCCCGAGTGTTTGGGCGCCTCTCGGTCGCGGCATTCTGGGATCACCGGTGGCGGCGGTGACGCCACACCCCTGACTGGACGACTGGCGCCGGCTGCCGCAGATGTTGCTGTCCCCTGCTGCGAGCAGTGCACAGTCACGACTCGTGGCTCTCGAGCTTCGACGATCTGACGCATCTTGCGGCGACGTACTGGGATCGCCAGTGGCGGCGGGGGAGGGGTCCACACACGCGACTGTGCAAATCGCGTTGGGTCCCGCAGCGGCGGGGCCATAATCGCCGCTCGCTGCGGCAGTCAGCGCCAAGTGTGCAGGCGCGACTCCTGACTCACGGGTGTCGATGAATTGGCGCATTTTGCAGTGGCGCGGGGAGGTCCCCGGTGCCGGGGGCGGCCGTATGGCTGACATCCCCGGAGGCAAGAGGTTATAGGGGGAAGGGACGGCCAGGGAGATGGCGGCTGGGTCTGGGGCGGCATGTGCGATGGAACTGCACCAATATCGGCTCGGAGGTCAAACTAGTGAGGGTTTCAAGAAATGAAGGAGGGCATTGCCAAGCGCCAATCGAATTGCCCATGAGCAACGGATTTCAGCTGCAGTCGACGTGCGTGTGTGCCTGTGCAGCTTTGCCTTGTTCTGAAAAAACTGAATGGCGAGGACAGTGCCATCTTCTTTCCTACCGACTAAATGCCTTGTGCTGCGCTTGCTTCCTTTTATACATTCTTTGCGTGGCATTTTGCCCCACGGTACTGGCCGGAACCCTTGCGCCCTGAGGCGATGACGGACTTCCCAAGTGGCATCCTTGCTGGTAACTAGCCCGGTGCCTTATCCCAAAGTGTCTACGACGCGAGACCGTGCTGAAAGCGATTTAAATGCGTCTTGAAGACTGAGAAGAAGATTTCCCTGAGTTCAAAAATGTTTTTTGGCTCTCACAAGTCGTCGAAACGCCGCCTCGTGCACATTTTGAATCGGTGCGTAAACACATGTGGAGCTCGGCTGCACCCACTTTGGCGGTAAATGGATAGCATCAGACTTCTTAGTTACACTGTGCAACCTGGTCGTATTTACCTTTTTGCGCATAAAATAGTTTTTACGTTTCCACGGGGAAACTCAACACCGTGCACATAAACACAATACACAGACTAACGGAGTCCGGGGAGCGGCAGACAGACGCCTGGACGGGAAGGGCGTGTGGAGTGTGGCATATGAGCAGACATACGACCACTCGCAGGCTGATGTATTTGAGTTGAATATGTGACTGCACTGCGATACGCCAACTGTGCCGTTGCGCAGATGCGAGCCGTGCTGTAGGTTGCAGTAGGTGCACCAGTTGCATTGAGGTTTGACCGATTCCTATCACTTCCGAATCCGAAGTTCATGAAGGGGGTCATATAGAGTACGAGGGTCCTGAACTAAAGCTTAAAAAATCCGGAGCCCAAAAATGATCTTTTGACTTTCGTGTCCAGAGGTTTAAGTACAGCTGCTCGCACGCATGCTTATGCGCATATTTCACATCCGCGTCTCCTTTCCAAGCGGTATTGAACCTTTTTTTGGGGCCCAGTGCGTGAGAGAACTCCGATGTAGTCCATCCCTTCAGCACATGAACGACATTTACCAGCGGCCACGGCAGTACCTGAGCGGCGCTGATCACCGTCGTGCGCCATTTTCAGGAGACGAGACTAGCTGTGGATGTTTCGGACGCCCGCTGCTTTGGCTTACTGCCAGCTGTGCAGACTCTCGCATGCAACGAAAACAAGTAGCCGCATAGTCCCATAGCTACAGTCTCGCTATAGTCTCCCAGCTGTAGTCGCTGGTCTTCCACAAAGTGATGCTTTCCGTGCTCCTTTCAGCAAAATGGGTCCACTATTTCGCACTTGGCTGCGTTGCTTGGAATACTTGGAGCAATTCCTGGCTCAGCGCTTGATAGTAGCACTTGGTACTAGCACTCGGAGTTGACGCTTAGTAGAAGTGCTTGTATTCTGGCCATGTGTTCAATGTCCTCGGGGAGGTGTTAGTGCTGCCATGGGTGCCAGGAATCGAAGCTACGTTCATCGCTGTGATAGCCCAGCGGTATTGATCCCTCTCTTATCCATACTCCCATTTGTCAGCTGTATGCCATATGTTGCAAGCCATTACTCAATTCATTAATCTAATCAACAGATGGATGCTGGACAGAAAATCCCAATTTGGTTTTGAAAACCGATGTGTCGGTGGGCCAGACACAATCCCATGCGTGTCAGCCATCCCAGTTGATGGGATTCGAGGACTCGTATCTTTATCTATGCTTGATTTCGTGAGTAAATGGAGATGCCGAAATACTGCCGAAAGAACAGACTGGATGGATCAAAAGCACGTAGTCCCAGACAAGGCGCAATGGCAGTGTTTTGCTTATTTTCTACAAATGTACCAAACAGACATCCGATAGTGGTCGCAGAGAGGGGCTGCATTGCCGGCGAATCGCTTCCCCCTGACCGGCTACACTTCAACTACTTCCTGAGCAACTCTACCAAACTAATGTCCAGCTAGAGGTTAACGGTGGGTCCGTTGCCTCTTTCCCGTTCTACATGGTTATGTCTCGGAAGTTAGCGGAACACCGACGCCTCTGCATCACACAGAATTCAGAAACTGAAGCGGAACATGAAGACAAACTGGATAGTCAGGAATCGGGACTATGTTAAGATACACTTGCAGATATTGTAACCTCTTAAGAGATCTCAAAACTGTATATGCTGTCAATGTATCTCACTGTCATCTTGTCAATGCATAACACACATCTGCGTGGTTTAAAATGCCGCAACGTGCACCACAGAGATCTAGCGTGTTCTGACACACATTCACGGCACAGTGAACGACTACAAACTCCACTGGCATCAATACTTCCGCCAAGCAAGGCACGTGCACACAAGCAAATTCAACATCCGTCCGCTCATAGGCAAAACAGAGCGCGGCAACATGCACTTCAGCGTCAACGCAAACGCAATGTGTTCAACGTACAGCGCGTTGTTGCCCACATGCACGGTCGGCGCGCGCCAGGCGCACCTCAATTTCTTCAGTGCCGCCTCGAGAGCGGAATCTTCTCCCGCCAGCACGGGTCCACCTCCCTGGGCGAGTGCCCCAGAGGGTGGCGCTGGCGGCGCCCCGCCGACCGCGGGCTGAGCTGCAGCGCCGGCTTGATTCGCTTCAGGCCGCCGCTTCAGGCCTTCACTCAATTCACTCTGACTGGAGCTGGCTTGCTCCTTGTTGGCTAGGCAGGCGCTGGGGGGCAGGTCCAGATGCACGCCGGGGTTTGTGGTTTGGGCCACGTGAGAAATGATTGGGAAGTCGCCCTCGGGCAACTTGGATGGCTCGTTGGGCTGGCCGGCTGCGCAATGGGAGGCGCTGCCCACGACTCTTCGGTGGAGCTGGAGCAAACATTGCCTTGAGTGCCGCCTTCGCGATTGCGCTGCTTCACCAAAAAACTCTGGCAGAAGTTGATCGACTTCATGGATGTAGTATTGTGGTGCGCTGCCACTGTTGAAACGAGGATGGAAGGTGCAGCAGTGCACATGCGGCGATGCTGGCAGTCGTTCATGCGCGAGTCAAAGCTGAACCCGACTGCGTCCCATCGCCGCTGCATCAAGGCAGGTAAGGCGGAAGAGATAGCCAAAACAACTGAGGTAAAGAAGATGTAGACTGACCGAACTGCGTTCCATCACCGCTGCATCAAAGCGGCAAAGGCGGAAAAGATAACCAAGACAACTGAGTAAAGAAGATGTAGGCTACGCTGTCAGCAAGACTAGTCCACAATTCAGCAACATCAGCAGTGGAATATTTGGCCAGAGCTATAGTGGAATATCCACAAGATATCCATTGTCACATGATCATCAAATCAACGATATGACGGCGCTCATATGATAATTGAAAAACCACTACTTCTCTTGAGAGTAGTTGAATGTCATCGTCATAAGTATCCAAGATATAGCCAGATACTCAATATGGACGCCATATACTGGATATGTGTGGACAGAATAGTGCTGTAGCCTGGATGCGGGTCGCTTTTCATGAATATGGACATATCCTACCGCCATATCCAGGATATAGCCATATGTTGGATGGGCATATCCAGGGTATGGGGACTTACCGACAACATTGTAAAATTTGCGATAGACAACTTCCTCCACGTTAATCAAGGTCAAAATTGCTAGACCTTGACCAATATTTTAAGGTCGCCGTGAGCGAATTCTACACCCACCTCGGCGTTGCTCTCCATGCTCTGATCAATTATGGACCTTTGATGTTGAATGAGTGCATCAGCTGCCTCCAGCTTCCTCTCTAATTCCCCTGCTCGCGCTCTCTCCTGCTCCTTTGCTCTTATAGAATCCGCCAGCCTGTCCTCCATCCTTTTCACCTGACAAGTGAAATAGGTGGACCATAAAGACCAACGCCAAATCAAGTCGAGCAGGTTAGGCTGTCAGAGCGTTTGCAATAAGACCCATGCCGATTCATTCTATTCCTTGGTCCATGAACTATCTTTCGAAATTAGTGCATACCGCGAAACACAAAACATACAGTAGATGTACAGCAAATATAGCAGAACAAATGAAAACAACCATGCGCACATTTTTGCGAGGTGTTCGTCATCCATGTGGCATTCCTACAAAAATTGTTCATAGCGCTTATATCATCAGCTCGGGTATCCATTTAATTATATCAGGAAAAGCCGTTGGCATGGAAAATCTTCTATCTCATTAATACAGAAGCTAACAGTTGCTCAATATGATGTGGGTTGTAGCTTGCTAGATGAAGGCCAAAAATGCATACAATAAATCACAAGTCACCTCGTATTGCCCACAGCAGGAAACAGACCAGCATCGCGCTGGCATCGAGTATGCCTCATGGCGACAACTACATAATTTCAAAATGCATTTCAAGTTTGCATAAAAAGCATTTCCTGCATATTTGTCATACATGACGTGCACCTCGAAGCCTCAGTGTTTTGCGGCATGGTAATCTATCCTCGAGAGCAAGGTGCACTGGTATCGGCATCCTTCTTGTGCTTCCAATGCACTGGTAAGTCCTGCGTATTCCGGCATTTGGACAAAGCAATGCGCCACCCAAACATCTTAGATGAAAAGAAGAGTACAATGACAGCAGAAACTCGAGTCAAAACATGGCGTTATAGTACCTTTAACGTGCAGCACGAAGCAGCATTTTGAATCAAAAAATTAAAATTAACCGCACTATGCACACGCTTCTCATGAGAAGCAATGCGCAAGTGCACTGATCAGTGCACTGCAACAAAACTGGCTCGCGTTGCTCTTGATCACTTTGATCATTGTTTGCAACACTACACAAGCATATCGCTGTGCTTTCTGTATTCCGTGGCTTTGCTTTTCGCGCAAGCTCTTGTCTGAGTTTACAGAAACACGCAAACCCAAGTTTGGTGCCCAGGAACGTATTCTTGAGAGCAACAAGTGAGCAAATAACCAAAACTGATTGGCGAAGCGCAACGCGGACGCCCTCTTCACCTCTGCTGCCCGCAGTTCCAGCTGCTGCCCCAATTCCTTGGCCGTCGCGGCCCATCGGTTCTTGATCTTGTGCGCCTCCTCCATCTCCTTCGCGCCCTCCTTCTTGATATCCTCTAAGGCGGCGCCGTGCCTCTTCACCACGTTGCGCAAGCCCTCGGACTCCTCTCTGGCGGCATTGGCCTCAGATTCTAGCGCCTTGGCCTGGCTGTCGAGCCTGCTGTACCCAGGAAGGCGCCCAAGCATGCCATTGGTTCAGTGCCTCGGTGGCAGCACCGGTTCCGATGCTAGTTGTATAAACAAGCCCAGTGCGTCAACAACAATAGCTGTTTTCTACTTTATTGCTTTAGCAGCTCTGGCAGCCGGATTTTAATATGCAGGAATCGCGCTGCATGGGCTGAACTTCCTGATCTCGCACTCAGATTCGCGCAAACCTGAGATAGAAACCTAAATTGAACTGATGCCCAAATTTGGGGTTAGAAACGAAGTCAAACAAAGTGCTTTTGCTTCAGTTGAGGAATTCTCATTGTGGCGAAATTTCATGCAGCCCATTTCAGACATAATCCGAGTTGGTAAAATGCGATAATGGTGCAAAACGGCTCCATCCTTGCCGGCGGACCTCGTGTGCCTGGCAGCCAAAGTCCCGCGCACCTTGCTATGCAGTGCCCCAGCTCCTCTTTGTCGCGCCTAGAGGCGTCTTCCTGCATGGCCAGCGTCTCGGCGAGGCGGGACGCACGCTCTGAGGCGGCCGTACGCGCATCCTGCACAGCTGGGCGTGGTTTCAATGTTTGGCGAAATCAGGTCCTGATGTGGAATCAGAGTCCAGTGAACATTGATCAATGGTCACACACAGCATATTCCTGGACGCGCACATGTTGGCATGCCTGGCATTTAAGGCGTACACACCGTGTGTTTATGCGTACTTATGCGCAAAATTGCGTTTACGTTTCTACACGTAAAAAGGCGTAAAGCTTCGCAAATACAGGCCATGTGTACGCTAACAGACTCAGTGCTTGCAGACTCAGGGAGGACGGCGTGGGAGCGGGCGAGAAAGCGACCAAGTGTTCGAGGACGTCGTTGCCCTTGCCGAGGGCGAGGTTGATACTATGTTCCAGATGCTCAAGGGCGGAGGACTGATCACTCTTTCATACTTTATCATGTAAGCTGGGTGCCCCAGCGCGCCGTTTAAAAAGTTCAAGATAGCCGCAAACATAGCCACTTCCGCAAATTTATGTTTCTGCGCATGAAAACGCAAACGCAAAAAAAACGTGAACGTAAACGCGCAGGCCAAGCATCCATGCTGGAAACATATGGTGGAGCAGAGCAGGGTTGAAAAGTTTAGCTCAAATTCGACGGTTTGCGTGGCAATTTTGGCAATGCGCGGCCCGCAATTCATAGCTTCACTTCAGCGTGGAAAGTTGGAAACGGGTCCTCTGGCACGAAGCAACGATACACATTTGAAGCCCTTTCAGTGCGAGACCCATCCCGCGCCATAATTTTCGCCGCACGTCAGCAAGACAGGGCACCCATTCCACCCGAACGGCCGTTTTCTGAAACGCGATGTTAACTCTCAGTCCACCAAATCGGCCAATAGCAAGCAAATTGACGCCCGGCCGGCGCACCTCCAGCTCCTGCATCCTCCCCCGCGCGGCCCTGATCTCCTCATCCTGCGCCCCCAGGACCTCCATGACGCGGCGCTCCACAGCCCGGGCCTTCTCCAGCTGCTCCTCCAGCTGCCCCACCCTGCCCTCCATGGCGCAGCCGCGCCCCTGCGCCTCCTGCACCTCCCGCTGCCTCTCGCTCAGCCCACGCTTCATGGCCGCCAAGCTGGACTCGGCTGACGACAGCCTCGCGGCGCGCTTCTCGCATTCTGCCTTGGCCTCGGCGAGCGACTGGTGCAGGCGCCTGGACTCCGACCGACGGGTGGCGGAGACCACCCTGCGGCGCAGCACCTGGCGGTCACTTTCAACGCCACCACATTTCAAAAGAAAGGGTGCATGACAGTACTATTAAGTACAAATCGTTGTACCACTGTCTCGCCAAATACTGTGAGTGTCACAGTGTCACTGTGTTGCACAGTGTACCTGTGTCACTGTTTTAACTAAGCGAACCATCCCGACACGGTTAAGTTCGAGGAATAGTTGTGTCCATGCCCCGCTGAGCACCCGGCGCTTGTTCGTCTGACAAGATATGAGTTCATCTCTTCACTCGAATGAACTGCGCCGGAGACCAATCTCATCAACTGCAAACTCAAAGAAAATCACCTGAGCCACTGGCCCAGCGCCACGGCCAGCCTGCACCTCGCCACCGCGTCGGCGACTTCCGAGACGGCCGACCTCCTGGCCCCGCCCACCGCCCACAGTCCCGCCCACGCCGTGAAGCAATCCCTCACGCGCCTGCCCTCCAGCCGCCTCAGGAGCCGCGAGGCCTTCTTGAGCGCCCTTTGGCGGCGCAACTGAGACTCGTAGAGGCGGCCCCAGCCCGCCGACGCCCGCTGGGCCCTCTCGACGCCCGCCTGCAGGTCCGCAGCGCGCGCCTGGGATTGCGACTGGGCGTGGCGCAGCCAGCGGCGCAAGGTGCGGTACTGCAGCGAAACTATGCCCGGACAGTTTGGTCACGACCGAGGGCGCGCATGCTGTGGGGGCCGCCGGTGCTCCCGGGGGATGGGTGGGGTGGGAGAGGGGCACGGGTTTGGCGCTCAGAGTTTGGCGTTCGGCCTGAGTGTTGTTGGATTGAGATGTCAGGCTGGACTCAGGATTGATTTGGATTGCAGTTGCAATGGCATTGATGGCAACTGTGCACATGCTGATATATCTGATTAACCAAAAGTCTACAATTACTAGTTATTTAACTCCTTACAGATTACTCACATGAAAACGAGTAGATTTAAGATTCCTTCGCAGCACAATTTGCACCACCGATACGCGATTTTCAACAGCGTTCGACACCTTATCGCCGATAAAGAAATCCGCCGGACATGGGCAGCTCCGCAGCGCCACCGTCGAGGCCATCATCAAGGCCCCTTACCTTCTCTGTGCTTCACCGCGATTTCGCAGGCCATCCTGCCGGCCCTGGCCCTGTCGGCCCGCAGCCTCCATCCCCTCAGCGCCGCCTTCCTCACGAAGGTGTCTCGAAAGACGCCGGCGGCGGCGAAGCACTGCCTGGCGTGGTGGACGCGGCCCAGCTTCCCGCGCCAGCGACGCAGGGCGCCGACAGCGTACAAATGGTCGGCGATGGATTTCAGCCTGCGCAGGGCGGCGGCGTCGCTGGCAAACGCCTGAGCGTCGAGCAGTACTTAACGTGCGTCAGCGGAGCAAGCTGCGCTTCACAGCAGACACTCTAGTTTGCTGATTATCCATTCCGCGTTTACTGAACATGAAGGGCAAGCGCAGCTGGGACTGCACGACCAGGCACCTTCGCTCGCGCACTGTAGAGCATGGTTGCTGTTTGCAGCGTAAAAGCAGCGTGCATTTACGCCTTTTTATGTTAATACGCGTCAAAAAGCGAAAAAGGCAGGCCGTGTTTGCGACGTAATCTACAAGCCCGCTGCAGAGGATCTTGGATAAATTGTCGCAGCCTAGTGAATTAAGGGAGCAGAAAATCAAAGCGATACTGCATTCAAATACATTATAGAGTGCATAGATGACTTCCACCATGCGCAGATTACAAACCAGATGCATGTATGCAAGAAAAATGACATTTTGGTTTAAAAAGGTTGCAGCTCCGGTGTGATAAACGCGAAGTCTCGCACCAGCGCTGCCCGTACGGGCATCAGGGCCAATTGATCAAACTGGAAAGAAGTCTTCCCAAAATACCTCCCAGTTTTTCCACGACCGTGCTAGCAGCACGGATCCCCGCCGCCGCCGCACTCTCTCGACGCGCCTCCTCGCGACTTCAGCGTCCCTCACCAGCCAAGCCCACCGCGCCAGAGATTTCGCGAGCAGCGTCCGCCTTCGGCGTCGGTCAGCCTTCCCCCCCGCCAGCCTCTGGTCAAAAGCACGCGCATTTTCTGCAGACCAGGCAGCGAACAGCCCCAGAGGTCTGCACTAACAGCAAAGCGCTATTTTGGCAATGCCAAATGGGGTGCCATGGCAGTCGCTGTGGTGGCGTCAATTGGTTCAAGTGGGGCCACAGTATCGCAAAAGTGGTCCTTTCCTGCTAGTGTTGGAAGTCCGTATGCTCAGCTCTGGACCCCTTCGATTGATCACATGGATCACGTCGCCCGGCGAGCATTGCGTCGCGTCGTCGGACAGCAGCATGTGCATTGAGCCACAGATTTTGTGTATCATCAATCCATTCACATGGTGCACGCCTGAAGTCCTTCAACATTCCTTGCCGTGGAACCGTACCCATGACACAGCATTGAACAGTGCTGGCAGTCTGACAGGGCCGCCCCGAGGCTGTTCAGACTGCCAATGAAAGGCAAAGTGCAACATCAAAATATCCGCCCTTTCGCTGCGCCACACGCAAGCAAAATTTCACCTTCCAAAATGGTGTCAAAAGGGAGTAAGGCTCAAACTGAAAAACACTAAATCGCACTTGTCTAGACTCAGCATGGTCTGCACCACTCATGCGCGAATCGCACCAGTTCCGCACCGCACAAGCAAGCACACATCGCCACTTTGCTGGCAGGGTCAATAAGCTCACTTTGGGGACTGCAGAGTGAGAGTGCCAAAACCGCCAGGCCCTGAGAGACCTCGCAAGGATGGCTTCCTTGAGGTGGGCGGCCGCGGCGTCCTCATCCCGCGTCTGACGCTCCGCTCTTTCCAACCGGCGCAGAGCCGCTTGCTCTCTCCACAGATGGAGAGTGCGTTGGGAGACGCGGGCGTCGTGGTGCGCCTGGGCGGCGCACCACCCGGAATTCTTTCGCCTAAGCAATGCGACGCGAGCCAAATATGAAGTCATCCCTGATTTGAATCAAAGTGCAAGAGCTACAGGCTTCTTGTCGCCGCGAAAATATCCTCTGGTCGTGGGGTGCTCGAATTTGATTCGATGGCAAGATTCCATGCTTCGGTCACCGAGCCGTCATTGTGCTTGACGTCGAACAATGTGGTACTATTGTATCGAATTGTGCAACTGTCAGCTTTGCAACTAGTGTACTATCGTATCAAATTTTTCAATTGGCAGCGCAGACTTTGAGCACAATCTCATGTTCAATATGAGATCGTGCACAACCACAATGGGTCAAACATCTGGTGGAGTGTGTACCTTCTGTGAGTGGCATGCTCGCACCAAGCGCCAAAAGCCTGACACATGAGAATCGCACTTCTCCTGATGTACAGCATCGCGGTGAACTGCAGGCCATGAGAAGTTCAGACAAATTCTCAGCAAAAAGTCCGAGTCATCTATGGGGCGCAGCCAGGATCGCGATAGCTTCCTGCGGCTGAGCGGCCCCGTCGACCTGATGCAGGCTGCTGTAAGAGGTCCTTCAAATTATGGTAATGCTCTAGGCCCGAAAATGGCAAACTCTGTCGGGCAGAACTAGAAGCTGCACTTGACATTATGGAGAAGCAAGAATTCCGGTGCCTGAGAGCCGCTTTTGGCGCGAGTGGATGTAATGTGAGGCAGAGTTTGCAATTGCTCAAAATCTGCCTCAACAATGGTCCAACAGATTCCCGGACATTTCGGCAATGCCGTGCAATCGAAGGGAGAAAACTATGTGGGAGGCAGCCTACCGTACGGCGTTTCCTCCACGATTACACGGGCGTCTTCCCTTCCCCGATTTTTACCAATAAGCGATCACCAGTGTACAACACACGGCATAACTATGATTGAACACACCACCGTTCGGATGTCGGGCTACTCGGATTGAATGTGTGCTCCATAAGCGGGGCACGATTTCAGTAAGTCAATTTGGCTAATTTCATGCTCTCCAGGTGCCTCCATTGTCACACCAGACGTGTTCAAGTTAACACAGATACAAGTTGCAAGCAATGCTGATTTGCAGGCATTTTTTCAACGATTGCATTCGACAATACATGAAGCAACACAAACCCAGCAACTGCAAGGTTTTTGACTCATAATCAATGAAAAACTGCAAGTCTCGTGTGCCCTGCACGGCAAGGCGAATCGCACACACATGTGCGATGATGAAGGCGTCTAATTGTACAATGAGGAACACACTAAGTCGCAGGACTGTCCGGCCCCACCAACAGCCCCCGCTTCCTTGCATCGGCCCCTCCAACGCACCCGAGAAAGCTGCACGGCTGCCTTCCATTTCTTCATCGCCAACACAAGGCACCGCCACTCATTCATGGACATGGCGGCGTGCCATTTGTTGGTCACCGTGCGCGAAATCGACGCCGCCTGCCGAAACCTCCTCAAAACTCGACGCTGGATGGCGCGGGCGCCCAAGGACATCCTGGGGACAAGGCACTATCAGAAAGCGCCATGTTTGCAATGCCAACTGCGATGCCACTTTGGCGCAAAGCTGCGGCATCGCGGTCATTGAGATGTCGCAAAAATGGGGGTGATTTTCATCAATTAATGTCAAATGGCATCGCAAAAGTATGGGTTTCCACTGGGGAAAGACCCCGCGATTGGGAGAATACACGGGAGCCACGGCGGATTTGGGATGCGGGCAGGGAAGCTGCCATTTGAATAGGTTTTGAAACGACCCGTTCGATATCCTGCTGTTTGTCTTTTCACATGCGCATTGTGCGCTGCAGCATTACGGTAAGTATTCTGCGGAATCATCATGGTTTGAGCGCAACACGGGAAAAGTAACGTCAGAATATGCCGCGGCTCTGCATGTCCCGACAAACGACGATTCTCACAAATTTAATACCATTGTATGTTGAATTTAAAATACAAAAAC